ACTCACTACCGTCGCCAGCATCGCAGACTCCGCCTCACTCCACTTCTTTAGGAGGTTGAGGTGATAAATCTGATGTGTCCCGTCCCTGTCTGATCGAAGAACCTCATAGTTAAGATCCCCAATTCGCCGTGTGACCACAAAGGGTCCTTGCCACTTGGCGAGTAATTTAGAGCTGGATGTGGGAAGTAATACAAGCACTCTATCTCCCGGTGCAAATTTGCGTAGTTTAGCCCCCCTGTTGTACAGCCGACTTTGTTTGTCCTGAGCCTGTAACAAATTCTCCATAGAGAGCCGCCCCAATGTGTGGAGTTTTGTTCTCAGGTCCAGGACATACTGAATTTCGTTCTTGCTATTTGAAGGTCCGTCCTCCCAAGCCTCTCTAAGGACATCCAGTACCCCGCGGGGCTGGCGTCCATAGAGCAGCTCAAAGGGGGAAAACCCCGTGGAGGCTTGGGGGACCTCCCGTACAGCGAACAAGAGGGGTTCTAGCCACTTATCCCAATTTTTGGCGTCTTCCTGCACGAATTTACGAATCATGGATTTCAATGTGCGATTAAACCGTTCCACCAAACCATCTGTTTGTGGGTTATAGACGCTGGTGCGAATCGATTTAATGGCCAACAATTCGTATAATTCGCGGATAGTATGTGACATAAACGCCGTGCCCTGATCGGTGAGAATCTCTTTCGGGATCCCCACCCGGGAGATTAATTGAAACAGTGCACCCGCGACGCTTTTAGCAGAAATGTTGCGGAGCGGCACTGCTTCGGGGTATCGCGTTGCATAATCCACCAGGACTAATGCAAAGCGATGCCCCCGTGCAGATCGTTCTAATGGCCCGATGAGGTCCATGCCAATTCGTTCGAAGGGGACCTCTATTAAAGGGAGCGGGCACAATGGTGCTTTTCGGTTGGCCGGTGGATTTACCAACTGACATTCGCGACAAGAGGCGCACCACCTGCGCACATTCTCGTGAATGCCTGGCCAAAAAAATCGGGTCATTATACGATTTAGTGTAGCTGTTTGCCCCAAATGCCCAGCCATTGGATTAGAGTGAGCCGCCTGGAAAAGCATTTCCCGGCGGCTCTTTGGAACTAACAATTAAGTTGTATCTTGCTTTGAATGTGGGTCCTGGGTCACCCGATACAACCTATCCTTGATTACAGCAAAATATGGATAGGAGAGCGGCTGGTTTGGATGGACAGCCTGCCCGTCGATCACTTGGACCTGCTCAAGCGCGTTTTGTAGCGTGTCATCCCGGGACTGCTCTAGAGGAAAATCCTCGCGCTCTGAAAAAATTAGTTCTTCAGACACGCTCCGTTCCTCCAGAGCAGGACCCGAGGTCCCCGGGACAGCCTCCCCAGCCTGCACCGACGCTCCCCCGTCCGGCTTTTTATACTCCCCCGGAGCACCCGTGCACAGAAACGCCAATAAGGATTTAAACCCCGGCCAATTAGTCCCCAAAATCAACGGGTGCTGGAGGTGCTGGTTAACTGCCAACTCAACTTTTGGCCCAGAAATTGAATGGTGACTGGCACCAGGGGATAACCCACTATTTCCCCGTGCACACACCGCACCTTAACCATGCGGCTCTTATCCAATGCCGACGCATGGATCAGGCTTTGGTGGATGGAGGTCTGGTTACAACCTGAATCCACCAAAGCCTGATAATTACCCCCCTTTACACTTACTGGAATCTGGTATAACCCTGCTTGGTCGAGGGCGGCCCGCGGCTCGTCGGGGACCCTGATCAGCGTCCCGATCTCCATCATGGGGCACCGATCAATGAAATGCCCGGGGTCCCCACACCGCCAGCAGGCCGGCCCAGGCTTCCCCGCCACCCCGGTGGCGGGAAGCGGGTCAGGTAACGGGCGTGAGGAGAGCGCGGGCCCAGGGCCCTCTGCGGCGCTGGAGGAGGGAGCAATTTCCCAAGGTAGGGTACGGGTCCTCCAGCTCTGGTCCTGTCCCGGTCCAGTTCTCCATCTGGGAGCCGGTCTCGGTGGGATGCCGCCTCGGGACCTGGGAGTAGGAACAGGACGAGAGAGAGAGAGGGGGGGGGAGAGAGAGAGAGAGAGATGAGGGTTCGCCGACCCCCGGGCACGCCACCATCTGGTCCTCTGCCAACTGGATGGCCTGGTCCAGCGACGTCGGGCGGTGGCACTGGACCCATTGGGAGGTCTTCTTCGGGAGTCGTGTCACGAACTGCTCCAGCACCACCTGCTCCACGACTCCCTCGACGTCCCGGCCCTCGGTCACCAGCCATTTGCGGCAGGCGTCCCGGAGCTTTTGCGCGCTGACCCGCTGGAGAATGGCGCGCTTCAGGTCTTCAAAGACCAGGAGGTTCTGGACTGGCAGCTGTTGAGCGGCGATCTGGGCTTCGCCTGACAACAGCGGGATCAACCGCATGGGCCAGTCCGCTGATGGCCATTTCCCGGCCGTAGCCGTCCTCTCAAAGAGGTCCAGGAACGCCTCCGGGTCATCCTGGGGACCCATCTTATGGAGAGGCATGGCTGCGGCCGCGGTAGGGTCTCGAACCTCCCGGTCCAACCAGCTCCGGAACTGCTCGCGGTCCTCCTTCTGGCCCTGGAGGAGCGCCTCGAACCGGCGCTGTTGCTGCTCCTCCAGCTTGAGCAACGCCTTCTGATGTTGTTGGTGGAGGCCCGCGAGCGCGTGGATGACCTCCGCAAATGGGGTTGGCATGGACTGTCTGGCGGCGGCTTCCCCTTCCATCCCGGGTTTCGGCATCAGTGTGATACAGATCAGGTTCTGTGTGAAGTGTAGGTGATGGAAGGAGACACAGGGTCGGCGATATCTGGGGCTCGTGCACTTTTATTTTTCACTCTTTCCACAGCGCACTCCGCGCTCACAATAACGTAACTCAGAAACAAATCACAAACAGAAAGTAAATAGGCAAAATGAACTCTTCCCGCTGGCTACAGCTTCGCATTCGGCTCAATCTCAATGAAGACGTCACTCGTCGTGTCTGGCCGGTCCGTGCACGAGCTCCCAGTCTCTCTCAAAAGTGCTGTCTGCCAGGGCTGCTTATATACGGTCTCCTCACGCCAATTACTGCAATCACAGACAGGTGTTCGTCATTTGAACTTGACCCGCTTACTCACCGCCTGGCTCCGCCCTCGCTCTCCCGCTGCAGATCTCGCCAAACCACGCACCCCTCGCCACATTTATCAATTTTTTTTATATTTAAAAGACCTCTTGCATTAAAAGTCACAAGCCTTAAAACCATGATGCAAAGAAAAACATGCATGTAACTGTTCATTTATTCATTCCGTCTCCCCCATGTCCTTTAGCAGTTCATACCTATTCACGCTTCTCAAGGTGTCCTCATTAACAATTCTTTTCCTTGCAGCCGCCAAACATGGTTTTTACCTTAATTGATCTCCTTCTCTTCATTTGTTTCTCTGTTTGGTCCTCTTCTTCTTCACTCTCAGAGATCATTTCATCCCTTTCACTTTTCGACTGTTCCCTATTATCCATTGAAAGTCCACAAACTCCAGGCATGTCTATTTGCATTTCTACTTGATCCTCTTGTTGTTCTTGTTCTCCTTGAAAGTTGCATTGTCCTCTGGATTCTCCTTCATCCTTTTCTGCTGTTGCGTCTTGTGTTATCGTTGTTCCTTCCTCCTGTTCCTTTTCATTGTCTCCCTCATGCACCTGCCTGCTTACTCCTTCTTCCTCTTCATTTCTCATCCCGCATACACATTTGTTGGTCACCTCCTTGCAATCCAGGCACTTTACTGCTTTGCAGTCCCTTGCAAAGTGACCCATCTCACAGCACCTGTAACATTTGTAATCCGGACAGTCCTTCACAATGTGGTCCGGGCTCGTGCACAGCCTGCAGGTCTTCACCTGATGGCTATGCATCACCCGAAAAAATTGTGGTCCTTCTTCCGTCTCAAACTTAGTGCTGTATGGTAGTGAGATCACTTCCTTAGAGAACCTGGTTTTAACAAACCTCGTTCCATCCTCTATGCTTGTGCCCGGGTAAACTCGCCTTCTTATTTTAGAAAGGGGAAAAACCCCCCATCCCTCCAGTTTCTTTAAAATGTCCTCATCGTCCAAATAAGCAGGCAGGTGCATTATTGAAACCACATAGTCTCTATTTTTCAGTTTTTGTACCTCACAGTTTTTCCCATTGATAATTAGTCCATCCATCAGTTTCTCTGTCTTCTTCTTTCTCCAACGTCACCTCATAGTTATCCATTTGTCGAACTGCCAAGATTTTTCCAACTCCTATTTTCTCTGTCACTGCTTTAATAATATCCTCCGCCTTGGCTCCTCTTACCTCCGTTAAGTCCACTGTAACTGTTGCTTCCTTTGCGTACACTCTTTTCATGCTTTCTTTCCTTGCTTCTTTATCCTTTCCATGTCCATCTCGTCGTCTTTGTTCCAGTCCAGTTTCATTGCCAGTTGATGTTCCTCCTGCCATTGCTGTGGTCGATGCCGTTAGTCCATCCATTTTAAACAAAAAATGCTTAAACAGCAAAAGCTGTCGGGAGGAAAACTCAAAACAAAACTAAAAAATAAACAGTGTATTTAAGGACAATAACTAACAAATAAAAAACGAAAAATGGTGAGCCTGTCTCACCTACTACAAACTTCAAACTGCCAACTCACTTCCTTTCGCTCAATGGCTCCCCCTAGCGTTCTCAAGGTGGTATGGCCGTAAGCGAAATCTGCTGCCAAAATTGGGCTATTTGAATGGTTAGAACATTAGGGTAGTAAACCATATAAAGCTTACTAGGTCTCCCATCCAACAATAAAGCTTACAGCACCTGGTATTCCCAGGCGGTCTCCCATCCAAGTACTAACCAGGCCCGACCCTGCTTAGCTTCCGAGATCAGACGAGTTCGGGCGTTCTCAAGGTGGTATGGCCGTAAGCGAAATCTGCTGCCAAAATTGGGCTATTTGAATGGTTAGAACATTAGGGTAGTAAACTATATAAAGCTTACAGCACCTGGTATTCCCAGGCGCACTCTCCTCTAAGTCCCTATACTGACCAATCATTGAGTGCCGTTGAGCAAGTTGAGGAGCTCAATCAACCAATCATTGAGCGCCGTTGAGCAGGCTGCTTCCTCAACCCACCAATCAGATGGCCTCATTGACTGACCGTGTCAAATGCATAATCGGAGTGACAAGAGTAAACAATCGCTGCTATCATCAGTGGACTGAGATCGGTGACAGCAAACAAGAGGTAAATTCAGTATATTCTCCAGTATATTCATATGCTTTCTAACAGTTCTTTTTCTGCATGGATTTACGTGCAGTAATTACAAAGTTATTAACTGTTAAAGTTTAAAAAGCATTAACGTTAATAGGGAAAATATAATCGCGCATCTACTAACATGAATAGTAAACTGTAGTAATTATGTATAGTCTTTGTAATGTTTTACTAAAAAAGTAAATGCTTTGAAAATACCCAAACACAACCAGGGCTGGGCATTAGGATTACTATCCAAATACAGGTAACGTTAGATGTTACCTATGACTAGTAACGCTATAGGTCACCAGTTTGTCCTGTTGCAATTGACTACATACTGTACATTTAAATAGCTTAATAGGCCTGTTTTGTCCAGCTATCCTCTCCACTAATCTAAACTATTTTGTCTCATAGTAACTGATAAGCCATTAACAGTCAATAACATGTTAAAACACTGAAAACACAAGGCAAGCAAAAATATAGTCTAAAATGATAAAACCATTACCTTTTGAACTTTCAGCTAATCACATTAAATATCACATTAAAAGGTAGTTCAGATAACATCCATAAAGATTACAGTACTTCTTTTTTTTATTTATTATTTCACACATTTTTACTTCTAAGCAATAGTAATAGCAGTACTATTACTTGTGTACATGTTTTGCATCTCCTGGTCTTCCAGTGTTTAGTCCCCTGTGCAGTTTGGAAAGAAGAAACTAATCTGAATCTGTTTCTGTTTTATAACAACAGATAAAAAGCATGGATTTGGCGGGACACAAGTGCAGTGTATGTGACAGGAGTTTCTCAGTGAAGTCCAACCTGACTCGGCACATGCAGCTTCATGGTCCGAACGAGGAACATGTGTGTGAAGTGTGTGGGAAAAGCTTCTCACTGAAACAGCAGCTGAGCAGCCACCAAAAACAGCACCTGTACCCATGCATCCGTCTGTACAGGCAGGGAGAGGCCAAGCTGCAGTGTACGGATGCAGCTAAGAGTGTGGCAATGGGCCCCAGCAAAGCAGTAGACCCCAGCTGTCTGGATTCAGAAAAGGTGGAGGCTGCTGCAAAGAAATCTGGAGGGGAAATGTGGAAAGGCCAGCTAGTTGTCACATTCGGCAAATATGCAGGCCAGTCTTTCAGGTGGCTGCTTGAAAATGATGTGGGCTGGGTCATATGGCTGCTGTCTGAATATTGTCAGAAGGGTGAGAAGAACGATCTCCTAAAGTGGCAAAAGGAGCGATTGCTGCAGTATGCCAGAGAGTTTCCGCCTGTCACCTTCCATCTTGACAAACGCATGGAGGTAACTTTGACCCTTTAACTGAGATTAAATAATATTTACCTTTTTTATATTTAATTTATTTATATTTTTGTTTATTAAAAATTGAGTGCATGTGTAAATCAGTAAGGCACATGTAACACACCTTCAATAGTAAAATCATCAATGTTTACTCTGCACAAAAGCTTGTGCTTTAGACATAGGAAGAGGTAACAGTATAAGTATTTGTGTTTATGTGGTACAATACAACTTTGTATGTGTTTTTCTACACTTTCTTTATTTTCTGCATGAACAGGAGTCAAGGAAAGACAAAGGAAAGAAGGCTGAATCTACCCTTTCTAAGTTCCAGCAGGATCCTGACTATGCCAGTGATGCTGAATTGTTGGCAGCTGCTGGTAATTAACACACCATAACTCTATTTTAAAATTCATAGAGCATTTTCTTTCTTACTGATGTATTTCAGACATCTGATTAAATACACTGCATACACAAATATCACACATTGTATGGCACTGATAATGACGACAGTAGGTTTAGTGTTTCACTTTCATTTTCAGCAGGATGAGGGATATTATCAAGCTAGCTGCCCTTTTTCAGTCTAACAGATTTAATGTCTAAATGATTTGTTGGCATTTAGATAACACATACAAAAATCAATTTAATTTGTAGATGTGATATGTTGGATTTTTTTTTTATTATATTACAATATTTTTTTTAACTATTGCCTATATTTTTGTAGCAACTCTAATGTATACTAAAATGTTTGTATCAAATATAATTTGTGTTTTCTAAAATACGATCTGATAACATGGAAAATAGAAACAAACTTTGTTTATTGTGATAATGCTTGTGTTTGTCATTATATTTACATCTTAAGCAGTGTGCTCAATACATTTTGTCTGATTTTTTCTACAGAGACTGTCCTTGAAGAGTCTGAGGTAGCGGTCTCCACACAGCTGACCACCTGGGGAGAGCTCACACCGGCTGTGAGTCAGGACTCTTCCCACAGCCTCAGCGCATCTCAGGGAAGAGCTTCTTCCCCTGTAGACACCTCTGCCTCTGGCTTCTTGCTGGAGGGCTGGCAGAAATACTGGGAGCATCCACCTCCATCTACACAAGCCAATGGTATAGCTCCTCCTAACATCAAGTGGCTGAAATATGATGAGATGTATGGTCTGTTTGAGAGACCTTCCAAGTACAAAAATGCCAAAGGAGAGATTGTGGAGAGAATGCTTTTAAAGGAGAAGATGGAGTTCCACCCACCCCCAATTCCTACTTCTGTCAAGGGAGGACTGCCCAACATGATGGCCTTTTTCACAACCCCTGTCTTCTTCTGGCGCCCAGTTGGTGTGATGCAAGCCAAGATCCGCTGCCCTAGCTCCAACTGCCCTGCACCACCAGGTGAATACCTTGAGAAGAAAGGTTTTGGTAGTTATGCCAGGCAAGTGTGTGGGATGAAGTACAATTACACCTTGTTGACAGAGAAGCTGAAGTGTTCACATTGTGAAAAGATGAGGCGGGAAGTGAGTAAGACACATAGTGACGCAGACAGTGAAGATGAGGACAGTCATCATGTTCAGCAGTACATTTGGCTGGCACACAGTCCCAAGATCCTGATGAACTTGGCCCCTGCCATCAGAAGCATTTTTCCTGCCATACTGTGTGGGAAGCGTGCTATTGACAAAGGCGTGGTTACTCTTCTGAATGACAGGGTCAACAGTGTGTCCATGAGCAAAGTCCAGAGACTGCTGCAGCAGGGACATGATGAGTGGTATGTGGAGCGCCGTGACCTGTACCAGACTCTCTTGTACGAAGCCCACACAGCTGGATCTGCATCGTCTCAGAAGAGCGTCCTGTCCTTTGTCAAAGCTGCTGGTACTTACACCCCTCCTCTGCCCCGGACTCCCCTTCCTTCTGCCCGTGTGCTGAGGCGTGCACACATGATCATGGAGATGGAGAAGATGCCTGTGTACAGAGCCTCAATCCTCAGTGTGACTGGAGAAATCCTCTGCATTGATGGTACAAAAAAGGTATGTGTATTGTATCAATTCATGAAGTTACGCAGACTTAATATTTACTTAGTCACTTTAAAGTGACTTGAGCCAGCTTATTGTTTTGAATTAGAGACTTTGGCCTCACTGTTCAGCTTTCAAATGTGATGTGATAATAAATATAAATAATATTGGGCAGACAGGTTATTGATAGAAACTATCAAATGAATGTTCTGCTTTGTATTTTCCAGGTCCTTAAGAAGATATATGGTGATGGCCAGGGCACCATGCAGTATGTCACCAGTGTGCTGAACGAGTGGGGCCAGTTCTTGACCACGGTGGTGGTGGCAGCTGAGTCTGAGGGGTGCTACAGACGTATGGCCAAAGGTCTGATGGCCCGCTTTGAACGAGCTAGGGCTCCTGCACCAACTGCCATATATGCAGATAACAACTGTTGTCGGTAGGTTATAACACATCCATATACCCTGATAAAATGTGTCATTAATTTAATGTTAAAAAAAAGAAGAAAACACATGCTGAATTTATATTCTTTCAGTGACAGTGGTTCGTCCTTCCTGGAGAATCTGTTCGGGGGCTGGGTGCAGAAGGGCACTGTGGTCAGACGATCCCATCCTCAACGGTCTCTCCATTCCTCTGCCCAATCTGAATGCCAAGTCCATCTCTACATTCATGGCACGGGAAGAGAAGAAGGCTAACTACAGGGCAACAGTAATGCCAAAGGTGAAACCCCACCAAAGAGTGCTGTCAGAAGAACCAATGCCAGCAGCTCCCACTCTGCCAGAATCCCTACCAGCTCCAGATCGACCTCAGGTTCAGTACCAGAGCCTACGTCATACTGCTGGGAAAAGGCATGGTCAGAAGCGGAGGTAAGTTGTTCAGTTCTTCATTTCACAAGTATGTGACTTTACTATTTTATTACAATATGTGAACATGTCTGAATTTATCAGCTGAATGGTTTAAACTTAAACACAACAAACCATGTGAATTGATAGTCGTATAAATTATTTCTCATGAATTATATCGCATGTATGATTTATTTTTGCAGGGTAGATGTGGAAGAGCCGGAGCTTGTGAACCGGCCCATTCAACCTAAACCCCCTGTGTACATCCCACCGAGAGCGTCAGCAGCACCTGTCCTGGTAGTGGTTCCTGCACAGCCACAGGGACCCTCCATGATGCTCTGTGGGGCATCCAGAAGTCAAGGCTTCATACCTTTCGCACCGCCTCCTGCGCTGACATCCAGACCAATCAAGCCTCATAAATCAATGAAGCCTTGTGGGGCCTGCCAAGTACCCCAGTGTGGTGGGCAGCGTAAGAGATACACGCCCTCCAAAGACAAGGCAGCTGAAAGTAGCCAAAAAATATTTACTTATTGCCCAGCAACTAGGAAGTCCACCACTTCAGGTTTTGAAGGTGTTGTGTTCAACAGTTTTGAACACTTCAAAAGTGTTGTAGACGAGGAACTAAAAAAAATAAAAAAAATAATGACAAGTAGAGAGCCAGCCACATCTGCAACTACATCCCCCAAATCACAATAGCAGATTTCTGGGGTATGGTTTGGACCTGGTTCAGACCTGGATAAGACCTAGTTTAGATTTTGCCCTAGTTTGGACATGATTTAGACCTGGTTCAATCCCAGTTGTACTTACCTACAACCCCAATTCCAATGAAGTTGGGACATTGTGTAAAACGTAAATAAAAACAAAACGTAAATAAAAACAGAATACAATGATTTGTAAATCCTTTTCAACCTATTTTCAATTGAATACACCACAAAGACAAGATATTTAATGTTCAAACTGATAAACTTTATTGTTTTTTTTGCAAATATTCCCTCCATTTGAATTTGATGCCTACAACATGTTCCAAAAAAGCTGTATCTTGTCTTTGTAGTATATTAAATGAAATGTAAGTTGAAAAGGATTTGCAAATGAATGTATTATGGTTTTATTTAAGTTTTACACAACGTCCCAACTTCATTGGAATTGGGGTTGTAATTTAGTCCTGATTTAGACATGGTGTGGGTTAGTCAGAATTACCTGTGCACAGACATTTACACGTCCTCAACATTATTTGCACTTTGTGCGTTACAACGTAATTTAATTTGCCATGTTATTTATATTCTCATAATAAGGCTAAAATATAATAAGTCATATTGGCTACAATATCCGCCTCTTATACAGATTCATTATACACCATCTATAAAACACATACCTATTTTCTCATTGTCTGCCATCAAATCAGACAGTGGGAAAAAAGATGTGTTTTTAGTGAATGTAAGTATCTGCTTAACATTGCATACTCATCCCCTTGTATATATTGTACGTATATTTTATATTGCTCAATGTGTACATGTATAAATCTTGTAAATATATATATAAATCCTGTAAATAATAACTTATTAGTACATATTTTGCTATATTTTCTGCTACATTACTTAATAATTAATGTTAATTATATTCTGTTTACCTTGTTACCTGTGTTATTGTTGTGTTTATTTATTTATGATATCTAGATATATATTGTTGAACAAATCCTATAAATAATAACTTATTAGTACCTATTCTACTATATTTTCTGCTAAATTACTTAATAATTAATGGTAATTCTATTCTGTTTACCTTGTTACTTGTGTTATTGTTATTATTGTTGTTTATTTATTTCTGATATGTAGATATATATTGTTGAACAAATAATAAAAAAAGAATGTTTCCAAATATATGATTCCTCCCCATTTGTCCAATAGATAGAGGTAAAGACTTTCACATGAAACTGTATTGAGTATAACAGAGGCTGAATTAAAGGTAAAGTCTTTTTCTAAAATCCCATTAAGGCCCTTTTATGTGTACATTTTACATGCTCCATACAGGGTGAATAGGGCCTATAGAGTGAATAATATATCTCAGATATGAGCAAATTACACTTTGTTCAAGAAGCTTAATATAGTTTCTTAGATTTTTTCAGTGATCTTGTAAACACTGTAACTAAAAGTCTCAAGTTTATTTGTAAAGTGCATCCATTCATACTTCAAACAGATAAGAGCAAACACATTTGTTACATTACTTGTTTTTTATTGCTTTAATTGAAGCATTATGTTTGTTACATTACGTGACAGACATATTATACTTAATAAAAGATAAAGTCAGAGATTTTAGTCTTAATGGTCTTATTCACAAAAACATAAAAAAGAACAGTAAACAAGACTTGATGTCCTGAAGTGTGAAAACATTGGTCTCCTCCCCTCTCTCCTCCCCTCTCGATCTGTTTACATTTTTTTTTTCCAAGGTGATCAGGACCCAGGACAAGGACTTGGAGGGGTCATGGGCCATTCCCAGGCGGTCTCCCATCCAAGTACTAACCAGGCCCGACCCTGCTTAGCTTCCGAGATCAGACGAGTTCGGGCGTTCTCAAGGTGGTATGGCCGTAAGCGAAATCTGCTGCCAAAATTGGGCTATTTGAAGAAGAAAAAAAAGAGACTCTTTCAGGCTTTCTGAAGAAACTGAGAGACTATTTCAGGAATTTTGAGGGGGAAAAAAGACAATTTAGGATTTTTGAACCGTTTCATTGACTCTTTTTTTTTTTTTTTTAAACAATAAAGCTTACAGCACCTGGTATTCCCAGGCGGTCTCCCATCCAAGTACTAACCAGGCCCGACCCTGCTTAGCTTCCGAGATCAGACGAGTTCGGGCGTTCTCAAGGTGGTATGGCCGTAAGCGAAATCTGCTGCCAAAATTGGGCTATTTGAATGGTTAGAACATTAGGGTAGTAAACTACATAAAGCTTACAGCACCTGGTATTCCCAGGCGGTCTCCCATCCAAGTACTAACCAGGCCCGACCCTGCTTAGCTTCCGAGATCAGACGAGTTCGGGCGTTCTTTTTTTTTTTTTTTTTTTATTAAGAAGTTTCAATCAATAAAATACAATAAAAAATACAATAATGAAATACACTAAAAAAATACAGATTTTCCAAACATCATGTGAACAAACATCTCTACATTACATATCTTTAGCTTTTGTACATCATTTAAAAGACTTCTTCTCCCGGCAGCTTCCACATTAGATCTTTTAAAACATAAACAACTTTTGGTGTAAAAACATCATAAAAAGAATTCAACATATTTTCACCTTTAAAATACACATACAATCTTTCAAAGTATACTTCAGCTTTCCTTTTAAACACACTCCAAACATCCAACATGATTTTTTCTTTTTTAGCCACAGTTCTTCTCTCCCATATTGCACTTTTCATTAACATGACACACAGATTAATAAAACTTTTGTTTTGACACTTCTTTCCCCACCCAAACATCACAACTCTGTTCCATTCCATTCCATTTTCATCCCACTCCTCAGTCAAATCCTTAATTAAACATTTACATTTCTTTAAAAATTCCTCCAGCTCTTTACAATATAAAAACATATGTAAAATCCCCTCTTCCTTCTCCTGGCACACTTTACACATAGCATTTTGCTCAATTCCTATTTTGTTTAAAATTGCATCAGTAAAAACAACTTTATGCCTTATAAAATACTCCAAACATTCCAATTTAGTTTCCACACATCTTCCCTTCATGTTTCTCCATATGCTCTCTTTCTTTAAATCTTTGAAATGCTGCATCCAGTATGCATTAACAATCGGCTCTTTAAAAACATCATCTCTAAAAGAACAATAAATCATTTTCACAGTACATTCCTTAAGATCATTCAGTTTTCCGCCCAATTTCACATTAATACATTTCTCTTTTGGCTCCCCTTCCATACCTTCTATTCTTTTTATCCATTCTTTCGGTATTGCACTTTTAATTAATTCAAATTGGTTAATTATTCCTTGTTCACTGTAATCCTCTTTTGCCTCCTCCATTGAATCCACAATAAATTGAGTCGGTAAAAAGCCTTCTTTGAATTCATATAAAACATCTCTCACCCTTGTTATCCCCACTTCCATCCATTTCTTTAAAAACATTTCTTTACCTTGCTTTAAAATGTTTTTGTTTAAGAACAGAGGTTGATTTAAAATGTTTTCTCTCCCATGTGGATCATACTCGACCTTGTCTAAAAATTTTCCCCACGCACTAAACATTTCTCTATAAAAACCTGGTAGCCCTTCTGTCATCCAAATCTTCGTTTTCATCCATAAAATTCCATCCCCCATGTTAAAATTCCCACATTTGTTTAAAAAATATCCCATTGTCTTTTTCCATTCTGCGTTACCCTCTTCTTGTAGATATTTTTTCACAGTTTTCACTCTCAAGCTATTTTTCCTTTGTGCCACATCCATTAACCCTAAACCCCCCTTGTCTGCTGCCCCTAAAATCGTGTTAAAAGCTATTCTCGCTGGCTTCCCCTCCCATAAAAAGTCAAGAAAACATTTCTTCAACCTCTTTTCTGTCCACAACGGCATCTCCGACACGTATAAAACATACCACAGCTTAGAAACCATTAAAACGTTCAATATTAAAACCTTTTCCTTCAAGTTTAAATTCCTCAATTTCCAAAAATTTAACCTTCTTTCTATTTCTGTGACCAGTTGCTCCCACATTTCATCTCTAACTTTCTTCTCATTTTTCCCCATTAAAATTCCTAAAATCCTCATTTCTTCTACTTCCTTGAACTTAAAACAATCCCTTAAAATCATTGCTTCACCAAATCTCATATATACTGTCTTATCCTCATTTACTTTCCCTCCCGATCCTTT